TTTTTTTTGGTTCCGGGGATTGAACTTGGGACCTTGCACTTGCCAGGCAGGTGACGGAACAACTGAGCTAAATCCCTGGCCCTTTTACTGTTCATATTTTGAACACCCATTCCTGGAGTTTTGCTTCGGTAGGTGTGATGGTTAGTTTTATGTGTCAATTTGTCTAGGCGATTGGGCCCAGTTATTTAATGAAGGACTAATCTAGGTGTAGGTAGCCATGAAGGTATTTTATAGACATGATTAGTATCTACAATTGGTTGACTTTAAAGATTGCCCTTGGAAACATGGATAGGCCTTTTTAACCCATTGAAAGGGCTTCAGAGCCAGGGATTTAGCTCAATGGTTCCGGCACCTGCCTCGCAAGCACAAGGTGCTAAGTTCAATCCCCAGTACCAAAAAAACCCAAAAACAGTGAAAGGGCTTCAGAACAAAAACTGAGATTTTCTGAAAAATGAGAAATTCTTCACAATTGCAGTATCAGCTTCTCCTGGGTTTCCAACCTGCCATTCTGACCTATGGATTTCAGGTTTTCCCACCCTAGAAATTATGTGAGCCAATTCCAATATATGTATACACATGTGTGTGTATGTGTATGCATGTATGTATATTCCTCCCCTTTGTGTATAATATATTCATTTTTATACTCTATTTGTTCTATGTCTCTGGAGGACTTGGATTAATACATTGGGTAACTCATTCAGGGATCTCAGTGCAAACAACAGAATCTTCTCTAGCCCTTTTAAGTAGGAAGAGGTTTATTAGAGGACATTGTGTAATTCATGGAGCCATTGAGAGGGCCAGAAAATTAGACTTGAAGGCCATGTGCCTAGGATTAGTGGCTGCCGGTCCCATGCAGATACCTCTGCTATTGCTACTTGTTGCAAGTATCTCTAACTGAACCTTTGCTGCCAAAACCCCATTGTTGCCGCTCCCCCAAACTGGCAGCTGCTATAATTACTTGCCAGAAAATGTGATTCTACATGGTATCCTCTTTTCATTTTCCTGTACTTAAAATTGTTTATTTTGTATTTGATTGGTGGAGCTTGGCTTCTATGTCTGTCCTCCCACTCCAAGAGAGGGCGGTAAAGTGAATTTCCTGGCATGAGTCTTGGAAAGGGGGAACTCCTCATGTGGAAATTCCTTATATATAGGAAAGGTGTCCAAAGCGGGTGGGAAACATGAGCAATCTGCCTCGGTGGGTCTGAATTTTTCTAGTTCTGCTTTGCCTCTGTGGGTCCTATCTTTAGGATACTGCAAAGACCATAAAAATGGCATTACTATTGACCTGGTAGCAGCTCAATGTAGTTGCTGACTTCCAGATGAGGAAGTAAAATCATGCTAGGGTAGAACAGCAGAGAGGCAAAGACTGTAAAGTACAAACAGTCCATCTGTTAATAATGCTCGAGTAAAAGAGTAACTGAAAGTGTAAATAGGGACCAAACTGTATAATAGATAATATGAAATAGGAAAAAATTGTTCAAAAGGAAAGGGGAACTAGGGAGTGGGGGGAGGGGGAAAGGAAGAAAGGAAAAAGGAAAAATTGGAAATGGGGCTTTTGTAAATAAGGAGGGAAAGAGGGGTAGAAGGTAGGGGAGGGAATGGGGAAAAAAAAAGTGGACTCAAGATACATCATGTACAGGTACAAATTCCCTGTGATGAATGTGATCATTATGTATATCTAAATTGTATCATAACATTAAAATTTAAAAAATGTTAGAATGCCCTATAATTCACCTTTCTGCTTAGTCATGCTTTTCCTATAAAAACAGACTCCATTAAAACAGCTATGCGTGAGTGACAGTAAGAAAAAATAAAACTTAAAAGATAGTTTTATTAAGCACTTTTGAGGAAACTACAACAAAGCACTTTCCTTACTAGCTTCTCACTGCCAGTTATTCTTTTTTCATTTAAAGTTGGGTCCCGAGCCTCAAGGTCAAATTATACTTTGTCTTTCAATTTTTATACTTTTAGTTAAAAGGGTTTTCGAGCCATTTACACAACTTCAGACTTGGCATTTTTGGGTTTTGGGCAGCGTGGTCAGTACATCCTTGTAGACTCTTTTGGTAGCCCCTCCCCCCATTTCAGTATAATATAAAAGTGCAATAATCTTAAGTACATACCTCAGTGAATTTTTACACATGTATAAACCCAAGTCACCAAAGAAATGGAGATATAGGCCATTTCCAGAACTCTGGAAGTCTTTTGTACTCCTTCCTAGTCAACCCCCACAAAGGTAACCACTATTCTGGCTTCTATCACTATTGGTTAGTTTTTTCTACTCATGAACTTCATTTGAATACAGTCAAATTGTATGTACTTTTCTGTTCCTGGCTTCTTTTGTCAATATAATGTCTTTTGACATCATACTGCTGTGTGTATCAGTCAGTTTTTTTTTAAAAATGCTGTGTAAGTACTTAATGTATACCACAATTGATTTACCTAGTTGACTGTTGATGGACATTTGGATTGCTGCCATCTTTTGACTATTATGAATAAATGTACCTCTACAACTCTGGTTAAAATGTCATCTTTTACACACATTTATTGTGGGAAACAGTCCCTGTTTTCTTTTCATAATCCACTTCTGTGTCTTCTCTTCCTTTATGGCCTGATGGAAAGAGGAAATGGATTCATGAGTGAACATGCACCACTGGAAAAAGAGAAAGAGAACTTATTGAAGCCACACTTATTAAAAGCCTGCTCCACGGCATGTTCTTTACCTGCCTACTTCATTAACTCTTCCTAACAGCACTATGAGCAGGGTTTCCTGTTTCACAAAGGAGAAAATTGAGATACTGAAAAAATTAAATGACTTTTCCAGAGTCACAGAGTATGAAGTGGTGGGAGGTAGTTGTAAAATTG